TTTGCCTTGGTGCTTAGATATGAGACTTTGTTTTGCTTTCTATATAATTCCTAGGGATGGGTATCGCCAAAAATTTTGTATCGCAATATATCATGATTTTTTCCCACAATATCACGATACTATCATGATATTTCTAAAAGCAGTTTTTACAATGATTTTATATGAAAAGTCTTTTTTTTTTTTTAAATATGGTAGAGAAACAAAATTTTACTTTCTTGAAATTTTTATGTATGTAAAATCATTTATGTTTGGATGGTAAGATGCTGTTCTTTCCACTTTTTACAACCATTTTTTATACTTTCTGTAATTGTAATTTGAAAGATTGAACAAATAAATGAATAATTTCTGGACTTTATAATATGTTCCTAAAGACCGGTATTTAGGTCTCCGTATCACATACGTATCACACAACAAAAAATCGCGATATACCGGTATACTGATAAAATCGCACATCCCTAATAATTCCATGCAAAATTTTGCACATTTTTTAACCTTATTATGTAATAAGGTTATAAAATCCTCCAACTGTACTTGGTAAACATTACTCAGCTTAATCTATAAGAAATATTGCTGATTTCTGAAAAAAGTTCCTGATATTTATCCTTAATCAGCGTCAGAAAATTGTACAATGTCTTGCAACAATAAAGAGTTACTCCGCTTTTGTATAGAAATTTCTCACACCGATTGACATAAATTCGAAACAGGTATTCATTTTTTTAAGTGATCGAGAGGGTTGTTTTTCAGATGTCAAATTTGTGGACTACGTAATGGCACAGAAAGTTTATGCTAAGGGCCATTGGTCCTTTAGAGTCTTTTAAAACTCGAATATGCATTGTCTTAGACATCCAAGACATAAAACTATCTTTCTTGGATATTAATAATTTTTGTGTAAACAAAGCATATTATATTAATGCTTGTATGTAGCGATTTGTACCTTTGATTTGAAATATATTTTCAGGTCGAAGTAAACATTCAAAGCTAACATTTCCTATTAATTTATCGGATGTTTGTTTTACTGATAAATTTTACATAGTCAAAAGTCACCAAATTGGCATTCCGACAAAACAACCTGGAGGTTTTTTTTAAACTACCAGTTGCCTTAACTTTATGCTAGTTTTGGCATATTGAGTCTCTGAATTTTTGTGTGTTACAGTAATAACCCCCAAAGGACCTCTGGTTTTCTGTAACAAAATTAAGATCTAGACTTAAAAACACGGAAGTCTTCTTGCTGCGTACACTCTTGAGAGTAAAATTATACGATAAAGATTAAATATAACTGAAAAGAGGGTTAACAAACTGAAAAACTGCATGTCCTCTTGATAAAACGTTCATATCGATTTTGCCTTTACTTTATTCCAAATGACAATTTCCTTTCAAGAAGCAGCATCGCTCAAATGCGTTAGAGTTGACGTTTTTTAACTGCTTCAATTTATTAAGTAGTTCATCAAGAAGGAAAACTTAGAAAACTTGCTGGATAAAATGAACTGCCTCATTGAATCCTAGTGATGCTAAACCTTTTCTGTCCTCAAGCCATATTTAGAAATCAATTGATACTGAAAACGATAAGAGAGGCATGCCAAATTTGAGGAAGTTGTTGATTTCGATTTAAGAATGGCGTATTTCAGAGAAAAGTTTGATTAAATTTTCTGTCGGTAGAGTGACACTTTCATCAGTGTTGGCCTCAGGAGATGGAGTGGTTGACGCTTCACGTAACGCTCTCTTAATTCGGGGCTGATACTGTGTGTGGCACTCTTTTATTGTATTAAAGTGCACATGATGAACTAAAAACTGCTTCCTTTTTGGCATTGATTTAGTACGAAGAATACTTTATATTAACCTGCATTAGCTCTGAGCTTTCTAATTTATTGCAAGAGGTTATCCTTTTTTCTTCTGATTCTTTTCTTTTCTGCTTCTCCGTGTTTTTAGCTTCATTTGCGCTTTTCACTCTGGCTTCATCTTTTTATTTTAATAAATCTTTAAATTTCTGAATTGGAATAGGCTATTTTCTTTGCTCCTGTTCTTATTCCAGTTCTCAATTTTTCCATTCAGACAGGGCTATCCTTCTAACAGTTTTGGTGACAATGGTGACTTGAATGACGCTCTTTAATAAATATTTGTTACTGTTTACTCAGAAAATAGATCTTTCAAAAATTTCTTTCTTCTCTGCTGCCCTTTTGAAAACGTTGACTGAAAGAATTTAATTAAAAATAGATGAAGCTACCTATTCTTAATGTTAGACTTTGTAGACACCATTGCAGGAAGTGAGTCTGTTAACTACTTCTTCACTAGAATATTTTTAGCCCTTTAGTATCCTTTTAATTTTCTTTTTTTAACAGCACTTATAAAACAAAGGACCACATTTCCCAATATCCTTTATTTTGAGATCTGTTAGGATTTATTAAATTAGTTTACTGGCATCGCCTGTGTGTGTTGTCGAAAGCTCAACTGGTAGTTACTGTTTGACCTTTAGGAAACACCACAGAAAGTGATATACAACAGTTAACGCGGCGGATGGTTTTACTCGGACACAATTTGTCAGTCGCTGTCAGTCTCGGCGAAACTAAATCAATTTCCTTTATCAAGTTACGAATGTCCACTTGCATTTTGAAGCAACACCTCTATAAACTGGTAGAGGCGAGAAGTCCAATTAACTGATTTTCTCACAGTCTCCTCTTCTCCGTCTGTGTTATTGGACGGAGCAGTAAAACCCTTTTAGAACCTGTAGATTGACTTTATGGGTGTTTTATGGACAGTTTTAGAATTGGGGTCATTTATCCTACCCATCTTCGTGCAGACCTATATTTGGCGTGAAAATATCTTGTTTCGGTGTTCTTCTTGAGTGTGGAATATAAATTATGCACGAGTCAAGAACAGTAATTTATTTATCTATACTCTACATTGAGTTGCCAGTCGATTGAAATTCACCAGTTGCCTTTCATCTGTTGTTCAGTGTATATATTTTACTTCATAATTTTTTTTAAAGTAAAGACAATTTCAAAGAAATTTAGAAAGCAATTCTTGTATTAAATAGTATTTCGTAATAGTGTATAGTAAATTTTGTCCACGGAAAATCTTTTATAGTTTAATTTTATTTTCAGTTTATACCAATTAAATTGTCACGAAGGTGTTTTAATTTGTCTAAAGAATGAACAGTTTCAGGTAGTTTTTGGATGATATTAGTTTTTATACAAGACTTAGTATGCATTGATTCAAAATCAGTTTATTATTTGCTTTGTAAAGGTTAACATGTATTTCTCCGATGGAGAAAGTTAAAGGACGGTATCAAAGTCTAATCAATCAAACTCTGCACAAAATCAGTGTTATTTGTATATGGAAACAGAGTTAAGAAAGAGAAAGGGATATATTAGCCACACTTTGACCCAAAAATGAACAAAATACAGATAATGAAATCCGAATCAGATCTGGAAATGTTTTATTTGAGTTAAGGACAGATGATACAAATAATCTTTTGTCATAAAAATTGAAAATAACAACATTGGTCATGTTTCAATGAGTAAAATGAACAAGTTTAACGGCGTAGTTTTTAATTTTTTATTCACAATTTCTCAGATGGATTTTTAAGTGAAAAGTATCTGTATAGATTAATAACGTAACATAATAGATGGTTTACAAATTCTTAATATTTTGGAAATTTATTAGTTGCATCATTTTTACAATGTAAGAAAAAATAGGCCCAGAAATTACATATCAATCCAGGCATCCATTTTTTTGTTTGTAACATCAGTCCTTAATTTTTTGAGGATATATTGACTACAGCAGGGTAATTATGTGATGCAAATTGTGTTTCGAGTGTTGGATTAGTCTAGACCATAACTTTGAAATGTATTTTAAATCAAATCTGAATTTTTTTCAATTTTAGATATTTTCCATGGAAATAAAAATTTCAGCTGTCTAAGTGTTCAAGTTGCAAACTATTTTTTTTTTTGGTGATGGACTTAACTCTCCATTCTGTTTGTTTTAACTGTCCTGAGTGAAACTCTTGAAATAATTGAAATATTTCAATATAAAAAAAAAAACTGTCCTATTTAAAAAAAAATTATTCAAAAGAATGATCGAAATTTTAAAAAAGTTTTCCAAAAGGAATGGATATACTTACAGGTACTTAATGGATTATTTAGATCTTTAGCTTTATATATTCACTTTTTAACTTCGAATATTTGGTATTGGAGTTAATTCAACAATATTCTATAGATGGGCAACACAAGCAAAAGCTTTACGTCACAATCATGTTTTAATAACACGTTGCTTACTACACAACATACATTGTATAAATGGTGCCTGTTTTGGAGGGTAACAGTTGAAATTGACACCCCAAGGAAAAGGTTTTCCGAGGGGTGGCAATTTCAACTGTTACCCTCCAAAACAGGCACCATTTATTCTATTATACTGAATGTTTTCTTAAATTAAGTCAGCAAAAAAAAAAATCGTCGATCATCTTTACGTTCACGTTTAGAAAGCTTTCAAACTCCTCGCCACTTCTACAGACTATAAAAAGATTTACTGACCTTTTTATTGTTTGTTTGATACTCTAAGAGTCTTTTATCATATAAAATTTCGTTATTTCTGCACTTGCAAGCATGTTTCGTCTGTTGTTTGTTGTTTTCAAGTAAGCTTCATCGGACACAAGCTTTTATTGACGTCAAGTTTATTCCAGTTCTTTCAAACGCGCAAATGACGTTTTGAGAATTCTACGGTGAACCGTACGCGCATAATATCCACGCATGTGGCATTACCGTTGTGTTACCCGTTGTCACATGCGTTGCTAAGGCTGAGGATAATAGAACGGATTGTTAACTGCGTCTAAACCAATCAGATTTTAGTATTTAACATGAAAGTATAATAATAATTTATATTTACTGGATACTATAAAGGACAAACAAAATCACAAAAATAGGTACAATAAATTTATTATCAGCGATGTAAGCTTCTTTGATATGTCGATGTAAAAAATTGACTACCAGGTACTTTTTTATTTTTAGAATTTGGAGATGATGTCACAAGAAATAGTGCGTCTGAGTAAAACACAGTCGAACAATGTTTCAACCGACCAATCAGGTGCTAGTGCAACAGGGTCATGACCCTAGAGTCATGAGGTGCAATAGAACATTATGTATGATTGAATGATCTTGTACATGTATGATGTGAGTTAAAGGCTTGGAAATATAAGTGCTACTGTTAAAAAGTTAAAGAAATGTGTTGTGCATGTTATAAAATTTTTAAAAATGTAATACAGTGTTTTTAAACTGTTTGATATTTATATTTTAGTTGTGGGTTGCAGTTTAGAATAACCGATTTTTGAGTTTAATTATTATAAACTTATTTTCTATATGTTTAAATGTAAAAATGTAATAAATCCTCAGCTGTTCTCAATTTTTCTTCAGTCCAAATTTGAATTATAAATAATTCAATATTCTATTTATAGGATACAAAAATTGGAGGATTGAACAAAAAGATAGAAAAAAAAACAGTAAATTATTGGTATAGGAATTTTTTTTTAATTTGGTTCGCATTGCATCAATAAGAGGGATACTGGGGATAATATTAATTGTCAAATGTAATTAGAAGAGATCCTTCTCTCTTTTTAATCCCCCCTAAAAATAAACTGAATTATCTGTGAATATAGCAAATAATATTAAGCATTATATTTAAGAAAACAAGAAATCTGAGAGCCAGTTTTGTCAAAATTTTAAACATATCGAGTCTTGTTGAATGCATTTGCTTCAAAACTTGCAGTTTTGTGTAATACATGCATTTAAAAATTCAAAAATATGATGAAATTTATTTCTTTATAAAAATTACTAGTTTTTGAAAAAGTTTTTATAATAGTTCTTTGTTATTTTATTGAGTAGCGTTCCGTATCTTCACTTTTGACTTGAGTCTGTTCACAGTATAGTGTCTTAGGGCCAGCCCTGAACCAGTTCTGGGATCGTGGAACAACTTGTTTTGAGCTTATCAAAATATTTACCTTTGCCCAAAAATATTTCAAATGTAAGCTTAATTTTTTAATTTGCAGGCAATAAAACTTCAGTGATTTAGTTTTCACTTTTGTTTTATTCTGTACCCGTTGACGTCGATTTTCATGAATAGCACGAGGAAAACTTTGAAATAATTTTTTTTTTCATGATTCATATCACTGAAGAGTTAACATATATTATTGCTGGCTTTCAGGTCGAAAGCAAGAATTATTGTATGTTTATTACACTCCTTTGTTCTGCTTCTTTTTGTATGAGATTACATTACTGTTACATTTTTGAAGGAACACATCATTCCAGGTTAATGTTTCTCTATTTCCTTTCCTTGTTCATACATGCAGTGTTTGAAATGAATGAGAATATATGTGCAGTATGGTTGCAGTCAATGATAAAAGAAATACTCTATATATAGTTATTTCAAAATTTAAACAATAAAATCTTGTAAACTTAAGAAACTTTATTGTCATATTTTGTTAACATAAGGTTACCAACACTCACTTGTGCCTTTAGGATATCAAAGTTCTGTTACTAATGAAATATATGGAGATAATGAACAATATTCAAACCTAAAAGTCCATTAAACAATACAAAATAGGAGCAGAGCAAAGATGTACCTCAAAAACATGACGTGGGATCAGGTGCCTTGGAGGAGAGAGCATCCCCTGCTGACCGGTCACAGCCGTCGAATGCTCCTTGTCATAACTGGAAAATAACGGAAAAGTCCGTCGACAATTCAGTGTGTAAATAATGGCCTAATAATAAGTATGAAAAATGTCAGTCGGCATTTGACGCAATGATACATTGTATTTGCCGACAAGGTCATTGTATCGACCATTGAACTTACAAATGATGACTTTAAACGAGATTGCTGGTATACTTGTTTCAGCAACTTGTTTGTCAATAACTGAAATTGTTGTAAAACTGTTTATTCGTAGATCATTCTTTTGCATATCGAATCAACTGAAGATATAAACTCCATAGTGCAAGTGATGAAGGTTTATTGCTGCATAAGTAAGGGAAGCAGACAATTGAAAAGTAAAAGTCATCTCGTTTATCATAAAGCTTGGTTGTTAGATTACCATTAACGTCTTTTTCAAGTAAAATATATAAATATGAAACAGATGTGTAAGACTCTGCGGTATTATTTATTTCAAGCTCGATATAATATATTGTATCAACATAAGATTTGAAATAACCATTGTTAATTAACAGTACGTCGTCGATATATCAAAATATCGAGTTGAAGGCCACAGCAAGGGTCTTCTTTTCACGTATAAGATTCTGGACAAATTATTGGATTTCCAATGGACTTTCGGAAAACCCGGTCTCCAGAAATCACAACCATATTTTCAATCAAAAACTCAACCATCTTTGTAATGTTATCGTCAGAGGACTTGTGTGGAGTACAATGTACAGAGGTCAGAATGTTTTTTAACATTTAAAACGTTTAAAGTCATCATTTCGTTAGTTCTACGGTCGATACAATGACCATGTCAGAAAATACAATTTATCATTTATTCAAATGCTGACTGATTTTTTTCATACTTATCGTAAGTCCATTATTTACACACTAAATTGACGACGGATTTTCCGTTATTTCCTGATCATGACAAGGAGCACATGGCGGATGTGACCGGTCAGCAGGGGATGCTTATTCATCCATGGCACTTGATTCCATCTCTGATGTTTCTGAAGTCCGTGTTTGACCTCCTCCTATTTGTATCGTTTACTGGATTTTTTTTAGATTGAATACTGTTCGTTATCTCCATATCATTTAATTTCTATAAAATACTTGATTCTGATTGGATAAAGAATTCTTTTGATAACTGCATCAATAAAATCTAAGTTCGGATAGAACTATTTGACATCGGTACATGTGATTCCCCGCTTCCATTACTTTTTGAAGGAATAATTAAATACCTTTGCTTTAATAAATATTTTCCTAATTTCGGAACCTGTCCGTAAGCTTCCTGACTTACATTTTACTTTCGTTTCATTTTGAATTATCTTTCTAAACAAATTAAAATCGTCTGCATGACGACAATATACAGTTACGGGAATAAAGGGAAGAAATCGTTTAATTGGCATACTTTTCTTAAATGTTTGACTTTGAGATATCTGGTATGTAACAAAAACTCTGAAAAAATGTTTTATTATATATAAAGAGGGGAAAACCGAAAATCTGTTATCGTGGGAAACAATCGAGAAAAACGACACTGCATGAATTGAGGATGGAATTCTTTAATCTTGAACTATCGGCAGCAGACTCTTTCAGGTATTACAGCATTGACAGGATAATACGTATTTATATATTCGGTTTGAAATTCAAATTTGGCAAATGAAATCCAAAATTTCTGAATGACGTAGAACTGTTAGGATATTTGAGTAGCTTTTTTATATTTACGAACTTAGATAACAGAAAATATTTTCAGAGGGGATAACACAACATATTTTTTGTGTTAAAGAACTGTAAATTATTTTGGAGATGGTAATCACACCACAATATGATACGTTTTTCGTTAGCATGGTTAGAGCCATTTTGAATTTTCAGCAACGTTAACGTTATGGTATGTATTCTGCGGACTGTTTTTGATACATAAATTTAATAGAAAATAAGAAACTTTAATTTTAATAATTTAAAATCATAATTAAATGAAAAATGTAATAATTTTTTCTTTAATCAATGGATCAAGAAAAATTTGAAAAACCAATGCGCTACGCGCATTTGAAGTTTTTTTTTTTTTTAATAAGAAAAAATTATTACACATGTAAATATTTCAATAAAGTAAATTTGAAAATGACCAATGAAAAAGATAGTAAATGTACGAGTTGCATTTTTATTGAAAAAGCAGATGTCAATAATTTCATAAGGTAATTCACATTCATTTTAGTTGTTTGAAGAATTTCATTCTTTGAAAGGGAGCTATGAGTATAAGAAGCATTTCCACTTGTAGAATTAAATCCAATTTCCTCTAAAATAAATTGTATATAATGAGCCTTACAATCAAAGACAAGGATGTTAACGGTATTCTTCGTCAGCAGGACCATTAAGTACTGATCGTGAACTTTTTTCTCACTTTTTGATTAATGAACGCAGAAGGGTAGAAGGTTTTTCATATTGCCTATCAAATTTTCATAAGTTTTGTATGTTAAAAATAATGTTTTATGAATTACAAATGTATTAATATTAGCTCGTGATCTGTAGCTCGCTGATCTAAAAACAGACTCTAAAAATTTTCAGACGACCTGAAAAAACTTTTTTTTACTTTTTTGATATTTTAATAAGAAAAATATTATTCACAAACATTTGAAAGGAAATGTAAATACTTAAGATACTTTGAAGAGAAATATATTTTTCTACATGAACAAATTTTCCTTCATGGGTGAGAAGTTTTAATCCGCTACTTGATAAGGTCATCATCTTGTCCAGCATTATAGTTTTGGTTGGAAGGGTTCGTTTTTGACTGACTTTGTTCATACCAATTGTTAAGCTTTTATTTTTTAAAAATACTGAAATTGATTAACTGATCAGTACATAGGGCACACGGTGGTTATGACATGTCAACAGAGATGCTTACACCACCTCGGCTTCTGATCTCACCTCTGGAATTGGATGGTGGTTTTGTTTTATGCTTTTTGAAATATTTTTTATGATCGATCACTATCTATTTTCACCTTTTCCATTTTTATGAAGAATGTTATTCGCTCTAATAGGAAATTGGGATTAGATGTTCCCATTTTTATCATGTTTTAAGAATATGAATTCAGCATTCAACAAACGGTAAAACAAAAATGTATCATTTATATGAAAGCACACGTACGTTGTTTGCTTAAGTGGTTTTGGCCAAAATTAAACATCAAGTATTTATAACAGTTCAGAAAAGTTACAGTTTTGTGAATAGGAAACACGAGATATTCCTAATATATCATTATACATGAATGCAAAAGAAAATTAACATGTCACTTCTTCCAGTTTCTTTTTACAAGTATGAGAATCTACAAAACTAGGGAAAATAAGAGAGATACATGTATATAAATTATACTATCTAGCATTGATAAAATGTTACTAGGCTACTGCCCTTTGATATGTTAAATGCAATCAATTATTTCCATTTTTTAGTCAACGTGTTTATAAACTTTCTTTCCATATTAGAGCGAATTCGGAGAACATGCATGTAATGTTGCGTGATGATCTTCAGTCGCCAAGATACATTTATAAGCAACGCAATTTGGAGAAAATACAATTTGTATAGCTAAATTTAATAAATATATTTGTTTGAGTGCGTCTCGATCAGGCAAGATAGCTGATTATCTG